TCTCTCTCTCTCTCACACACACACACACACACACACACACACACAGAATTTTAATCTGGGTTCCATACATGAGAGAAGATAACAATGACTTTCTTTCTTTGTCTGGCTTATTTCATTTAACATAATGATTTCTGGTTCATCCATCTTCTGGAGAATGACATTTCATTTTTTTTACAATTGCATGAAATTCCAGTGCAGATATATACCACACTTCCTTTATCCATTCATCTGCCATTGATGAACATCTAGGCTAGATCCATTTTCTGGTGAATGGATCTAGTGCAACAGTACACGGATGTGGCATCTCTGTTGTATGTTGACTTAAGAGTCGTTTGGGAACATATTCCAGAGTGGTGTAGCTGAGTCCTGTGGTAGCTAGAAATCTAAGGGTTTCTATAGTGGTTGTATAAGTAAAAGCCTTTTTTAAGAAAGATTTTGGTGACTCATACCTTTAATCCCAGCACTTGAGAGGCAAAGGCAGGTGGATCTCCAAACTGGTCTACATAGCTAGTTCCAGGCTAATTGGGGTCTCACCCTGTCTCAGAAAACAAAAAGAAACAAAAAACAGATTTTATTTGCAGCTGCTTCTTCCTGTTCTCACCATCCTTAGTTCATTCAGCCCCTCCTTGCCTCCTGACTAAAGTTTTTCTTTTTCATAAATTTTTTTATGCTTTCCTGCTTCTCAGGTTCATCTACACACTACTGCTAGAATACAAATCTGTCATCCTCTTACCTGATAATGATATATCCTTCCCTTAGAATGGAATTTAAGGTCTTCCTGTTAATATTGTGAATGCAAGAAGATATGTGAAATTGAGCCTAGTAAATCCAAAGTTTTCGAGTTTTATGTTTTCACTATTTTGTTGACACTTTGTCTGGTGAATAATATATCGCCCCAACTTTATTGTGGCGAATTTAAAGATACCTGGGTCACTATTGGGTGTAACAAACATGGATTGTGCCTCTCCTTCAGTGTTTGATATTGTGAGGAACTACACTGCAGACTATGACAAGACTTTAATCTTCAATAAAATCCACCATGAGCTCAACCAATTTTGCAGTGCCCATACACTTCAAGAAGTTTACATTGAATTGTTTGGTAAGTGTTTATTTGTTTTAAATACGTAAATACACATTTAGAAATCATGTTTAACTTCATTATCGATACTGTAAGTAAACCATTTGAACATTCTGTCTGAATTTGTAATAGAACACTTGTCTTTAAAGTACTTAGTTTTTATCTTCAGTGATAATTTCTTATATAACTTGGTAGAAATGAGAAAAATTGTATTCATATACTATATTCCGTCTTATTGTGATAACTCTCTAAAGCTTAGAAGTATATATTTGGGGTGTTCCCCAAGATCCACTTCCATGTGTTTGGGATTCAGAATTTGGTAGGACAGGTAAGACTTGGCATATTGTTGTATTCACACCTAAGATGTATTACAGCTAAAGGTTTCAGATCAGAACCAAGCAGAGGAAAAGGTATATGGATGAAGTTAAAAAAAAAAAGTACATGTGGGCTTCCAAAAGTCTTCTTGTAGTGGGGTCACACAGGCTGTGCTTAATCAGTAAAGGTGTTGGCTCTTATGAAGTGTTGACTGCCTGCCAGGGAAACTCATTAGATACTCAGTGCCCAGCAGCTTTCCTTGGGCTTGGTTGTGAAGGCGCTCTTGCCTAGCACATGACAAAATTCCTATAAGGAAAGCAAGTGTTGAGCACAAACTACTTTGTATAAACCTTTAGGCACAGTGAGACATTTATATCAGTTCTGGGAATGGTGAGAGCCCTCTGCAGATCCAAAAGTGCAAAGGGCCAGTTTACACTCTGTCCTTTCTAAGGATCACAGCCAGGCCTGCCATATTATTTTTCTTCTGTACAAGCTTTCATTTGACGTACAGAAGTTCTGAGCGGGAAATGAGTTTAGTGCCTTTGGTATTCATTTCTCCTTCCTGGAATTCTTACAGGGAAGCATAGAAATGGTTAATCAATTTAAAGTGTACCAATTAAGGGGCAAGCAAGTGAATAAAGGGGCTCACTCCCAAGCCTGAGCACCTCAGACACCCCCACACACACATGGTGGAAGGAAAGAACCAACTGTGTGTACACTCGCACACGGTGCATACACATACAACTAAATAAAATGTAATTAAAATTACCAATTGATTATGATGACTGACAACTACTGTAGTGCCCGACTTGTAATATCACTGGTCATTTTAACAATGATGAAAGTACCACTGTGGTGACTAAAAATTCATCAGTTCAAGACCAAAAGAAGTGACAGTTTCTTCTTATGCTCCAAAAACTTGTTTATGAGCTTTTTCCTCCCTTTTAAAATCCAAAATAATAGTAGGGTTGAAGTCCACAGAAATGAAATTTAGTTATTTTGGAATTTAATCTTGACTAAGGAATTTACTTTGTTACTATGAGACTTGGGATGCATAGGCCAGCAGTGGTGGCCCATGCCTCTAAACCCAGCACCCAGAAAGCTGAGGTAGGAGGATTATGAGTTTTAGACCAGCCTGGGCTCCATAGTGGGATCTGTCTCCAAAAACTGGATATTCTAAGGCATGAATAGGATAGTAAAGACCCGGGTCCTTCATTTATTCAATAAACTTGATTTTAGCCAGTAATTATTAAGCTGATAAAAGTACAAATTATCCAACAAATACACCAACCAAAGGTGAATTGAATTTATTGTACAAACTTATTTGGGGGTGGGGTAAACTTAGACTAGCAGCTTGTCATCTTTCTTCCTGAATAATTTCTTAAAAAGAAAAATGCTTCATATTTATCTCACCTGTATTTCATACATGGTTTCTCTGTCAGGCTTTTCAAGCTCTATAAGAGAGTAAGAGTAGAAACAAGGTCTCATACTAATTGGCTTTGTTTTGATGATAATGTAAAAAAAGTTGAGTATCATTAGCTCTGTTGTTGTTGACTTCAAAAACAGATCAAATAGATGAGAACCTGAAGCAGGCGCTGCAGAAAGACTTAAATGTCATGGCCCCAGGCCTCACTATCCAGGTAAGCTCTTTTCCTAGGAACATTCTTGTAGTTTAATCCTCTTTTCATGTTACTGGTTAGTCAACAGTTACCTAACTGAATTGCTGTGGTGAGTTGTAGGGTACCTTTCATAAATTGACTTTACATCTCTGCCAAGATGAAAATATACTGAGTGGCATTTTCTTAACTTTTAGAGGGATAAGCTGAGGCTCTTTCAAGGACACAAAGTTCATATCTCTACCAAGTATGAGGCATTTTTAAACAGTAATGGTTATTAATCAGTGTAAGACTATAATTTGCCTTCAATGAGAACATGAGAAAGGAGTTCAGACATAAGAATTGAACAACAGTTCTAGACCAACTAGATGTCACAGAGTATCAGTTGACAGTGATTACTGTAGGAGTGCTAAGAGTGAGAAGGAATTTCATGAGAGTGCCTTAGGACATCCGATGAATTAAGGTTTTAGGTAGGTCTGGAAATTTTAATTGGATTCATACGTATAAAAGAAGTAAAGTTACTTCACGCCAGGCATAGTGGTGCATGCCTCTAATCCCAGCACTCTGGCAGAGATGGGAGAATCAGGAGTCCAGTTTCACTACAGAAGAGTAAGATTCCATCTCAGAAAACTCAAAGAGAAGAGGGGAGGACTCAGTGGCACTGCTACCAAGAGTGTGTATTGGCTGTGATTGTGTGTGTGCTTCTTAAGGAGACTGGAAAGGTGGTGAGATGGGTCTCATTCCTACTCTGCAGGGGAGCTACCTAATGAAGGGGTCATTTGGACTCTCTGAAGCTAACTTTGCACATTCTTCATGGTTATCCTCTCAGTGTGGCTAGAGTAGCTTTTTCATGTTAATAGCATACGTGTGAGTGTCAGAAATTCTTCAGAGATCCTCTGAAATCTCAGTAGCTTCTAGAGCTCTTTGCCTTATACTACTAGGCATTTCTCTCTTCCTGGCTTTTCTGATATTAGTCAATAGTAGTATAAGAACCTTGACACTGTCTGTGTGTGTATACAAACTGTCTTTCAAAGAGACTGCCCAAATGTACATCCTTATCAGCAGAGTTCCAGTGACCCCACCAGGATCAGAAGCAGTGAGACATGCTGGGTTTCCCCATGTACATAGGTGAGGAGTTGTCTTTCTCTTTGAGTTGCATTTCCTTAGTTATTAGTGAAGCTGAGAGTCTTGATATTTTTCTTTGATTATCTTGTTAGTCACCTCATATCCTTTGTCCATTTTTCCATTGGATTTTCTTTTTCTTGCTGATATGTAGTAGTTCTGTATATGTTCTGGATATTTTTATGTACAAACTCAACATTGCTGTTTCTGTTAATAGTTGCTTTGGGTATTCAAGGGTCTTTATTGCTTCCATGTGAATTTTAAGATTGTTTTTCTATTTCTGTTCAGCATGTCACTGGGATTTTGATGAACATTGAATTGAATCTGCAGGTTGATCTGTGGTATAGCCACTTTCGCAGTACTCTGCCAACCCATGAGCAGGGGTGGTCTCTGTATTCTACTCTCTTCAGCTTCTTTCTTCAGTGTCTTAAAATTTTCACTTCTTAGTTAAGTTTGTTCCTAGGTTAGTTTGGTGTTTATTTTTGTTTTCATTGTGTTGTTTTTATCCTATTGTAAATGTTGTTTTTTTCTTCCTGGTTTCCTTCTTGACAAGTTTATTATTGGCATATTGGAAATAAACTGATTTGTGTATGTTAATTTTGTATCCTGCTACTTTGCTGAAATGCTTATCAGACCTAAGAGTTTCCTGGGATTCTTTAGGCACTTTAAGGTATAACATCATAGCCTCTATAAATAGGGATAATTCGACTTCTTTTTCTGTTTGTATCCCTTTTCTAATATTTCTTATTGCTTGAAGATAAGACTTCGAGTACTGTGTTGAATGGGAATGGAGAGAGTGGGCCCCCTGATCTCCATGTATATTCTGTATCTGTTCGATGCAGTATTTATCAGCCATTTTTATTTTTGAGAACTACTTGATGTATAGTTGGCAAAGATTTTTTTCCTCATTCTGCAGGCTGTCTTTTCTTTCTGTTGATTGTTTCCGTTACTGTGCAGAAGCTTTTTAATTTCACGTAACCCCCTTTGTCAATTCATATATACAACGTGTATGTATTTGTGTGTATGTGGTGTACATAGTATATGTGCATATGTATGCACCAAGTGAGCCATCTGTACATACATGTGAGAAGGCCAAAGGAAACGGTATCCTCTCTCTTTGTCTCTCTCTCTCTCTCTCTCTCTCTCTCTCTCTCTCTTTCTCTTTCTCTGCGCCTTACTCCCTTGAGACAAGGTCTCCCCTTGAGCCTGAAACTAGATTGGTGGCTGGCATACTCCAGTGATCCTCCTGTTTCTGCCCCCCAACACTAGGATTATAGGTATATATGGCCATGCCTGGGCTTTTTATGTGTATGTGAGGATCCAGATTTAGGTTCTCCTATTTGTGCAGCAACTCTAACCAACTGAACCATCTTTCCAGCCCCTGGATCTTTGTTTGTTTTAAATCCAGTCAGGCCTATCTGGTATCTGTTGGTGAGTTGAGCCGATTTACATTTAAGGTTATTGTTGAAAGATGTTTACTAATTCCTCTTGTTTTAGTAATTGGTTGGATTATTGTTTATTCCTTTCTCTCTTATTGGTGTCAGAGGTTTGGTCTTTTACTGTGTTGGACATGATGATTCCTCCCTAGCTCTCCTCTGTTCATCTCTTCCTCTAATGAATTTTTTTTTAATATTTACTTTTATTTATGTGTGTGTGCATGCACATGTGCATGCGGGTACCAACAGGCTGGAAGAGGGTGTCAGATCCCCAGGAGCTAGAGTTAATAGGTGGTGGCGAGTCACTGATACAGGTGCTAGGAATTGAACTTGGATCCTCCACAAAAGCAGCAATCACTTTTAACAGATGAGCCATCTCTCAAACCCTGTCTTTTCATTGTATTAAATTTTTATTACATATATTTATGTGGTGGTGGGGGTCAACCAAGCTATGGCTTGCAGGTGGAGATCAGAGGACACCTTGCAAGAGTATATGCTTTCCTTCTACCATGTGGATCCCAAGGATCAAACTCAGGTTGTCAGGCTTTGTGGCAAGCATCTTTATCTACTGAACCATTTTGCCAGCCCAAAGTTCAAATTTTATGTCTGGGGTGAGGCGGGAGGTGGGACTAGGAATTGAACCTATAACCTTATGCATGTGAGGCAAGTGCTCTACCACTCAGCTACAGCCCAAGCCCTGTGTTGTATTTTTGACATCTTGACTCTTAATATGTCACTGAGAGGTTCTTCTCTAGTAATTTTATTTGTGGTTCCAAATGCTTTTTTTGTTTGTTTGTTTGCATGTCTGTCTTTCTTTCTCCTGGGATATTTTCTGCTCTACTTTCATTGAATAGATTCTGTCTGCCTTTAGTATTTCTTTCAGCCTGTTCTGTTCCATGGATTTTTAGATATAGTGTCTAGATTGTATTCCAGAGTTCTTGGAAGTTGTGATTATGTTCAGTATTTTTTTCCTTATTGATGTTTGAATATAGTTTTTTGTTTTTGTTTTGTTTTGGGTGGGGTTGGGTTTTGGTTTGGTTTGGTTTGGTTTGGTTTTTGGGGTTTGGTTTTTTTTTTTTGGTCAGACTTGTCTTCCGTCTCTGGTATTCTATTTGTCATGTTTACTGGTTATCCTTTCTGCTATGTTTTTTAAAAATATGTGTTTTTATTTTATGTGTATGAGTGTTATGCCTGCATGTGTGTAAATGCACCTGTCATGCAGTGCCTGTGGAGGTCAGAAGAAGGCATCAGATTTCCCTGGAAGTGAAGTTACAAACCGTTGTTAGCCACAATGTGGGTGCTGGGAATCTGACTGGGTCCTCTGTAAGAGCAGTCAGACCTCTTAACCACTGAGCCGTCTCTCCAGCCCTCCACTGTGTTTATTTGATTCACAGTTTCTCATTTCTAACATTTTGAGTTTGGGGAGATGCTTGTTATCTCTTCTTCTTCCTCTTTTCCTTTCAATTTCCTTGCTGAATTTTTCTTCCATGTTGAAGTTTTGATCATTTTCACTAGAAACTTTTGAAATCAACTGGCATTTTACCTATTTTAGTATCTGTGGGTTCAATAATTGAGGAATTATGATATTTGGAAGGAGCTATATTGCCTTGGCTTTTCATGGTTCTTGATTCCTGTGTTGGAGTTTGCACATTGTTGGTTTGGATAGATCTTCCTGTGTTGGGGAGACATCTTATTGGGCAGTCTATTATTGAAAGCTCCTCAGTAGTACTATCAGTAACATATATCCTAAACCCTGGAGCCTAATCACTAAGGTCTAGACCAGTGAGATACCCTATCTAAGAAACAAGGTGGAGGCCTGGAGAGATGTCTCAGACAGTAAAGAATTTGCCACACAAGCATGATGGCCTAAGTTTAATCCTTAGCTCCTACAATTTAAAAAGAAGGCCAGACATGCAAGTACTTGAGGATTCCTGGGCATGCAGTCCCAGTGAGAAGCTGTGTCTAAAAATCCAAGGTGGGCTGCTCCTCCAAGGTTGACCTCTAGCTTCCACCTGCAACACATGCTCATTCACCCAGATACACACACACACACACACGCACGCACGCACGCACGCACGCACGCACAAGGTGGACCGCACCTGAGTAATGACATTCAAGGTTCACCTCTTGGTATCTGTATATGCATGCCCACATGTACATGCACACCCATACAAAGCACACACATACACAAAAGAAATACACTTAAAATCAGTTACAGGCCACCAATGACCCTAAAACTGGAAATGACAATGGCTGTATGTGCTGGATAGCTTTAGTGTCAACTTGACACACCTGGGTTGAGGGAGCCTCAATCAGGGAATTGCCTCTATTGGACTGGCCTGTGGCCATGTCTGAGGGGCATCTTCTTGATGAGTGATGTGGGAGGGCCCAGCCCACTGTGGGTGGTGCCACCCCTGGGCAGGTGGGCCTGTGTTGCATAAGAAAGCAGGCTGAGCAGGAGCCGAG